TCGTGTACTGGCGGAGCGCAGGGGATGGCGGGATGAGCTAATTCGACTGTTGAGATGTTTGCGAAGTATTCTCGCCATCATTTCAGTGTTTGCCTGCGGTCCGTTAAGAGGTGACCGTTCTAGTCATTTATGCCGAAGAACTTTTCTATATCCTCGGTTTGGCGGTTGCGGGTCTTTGCGAGTCGGTAAACGTACCGCTCACCATCATAAGACTCGAATTTCTTATTAAGATTGGCATAATGAGCTGCCTTCTCAGAAGCAACGGCCTTCTTCGCCTCTTTCCTCGCTATCTGATAGCGTTGCCAGTCGCTAGTCGTCTTTTCGATAACGAAAGCGTGGTACTGCTTTTTCTTGACACGGACTATATCCCTGACATGGTCCGCCCACAGCCGTTTTGCTTATCAAGCTTTCGCCGTCCAGGCTTGGTCATGCCTAGGCTCGACCGCGCAACCCGGGTTATCGCTTCCGCAGCTCCCTTCCAAATTTCGCCGACAGTCGCTACCGCTGTTAACAGAATGCTGGAACAACGACCGCTTCTTTCTCCTTCAGTCGCCACCACTTGATTCTCGCTAGCCCACACCTTTCTGCTAATTTCGGTTTCAACGGGGTGATCTTTGAGCACAACACCGTCCACAAATCAGTGGACGGTGTTGTGTTGCGACCGTTTCATAGGGAACTGTTTTCGCGTCTGTTACGAGCCCCTGATCGCGGTGCCTGACGAGGACAAAATCAATTTGTGTTCTGTACTCACCGCTATAGAAGGTGATGAGATGATAGTCACGTTCGCGAAATCTCGTGTTTACAACGGCGAGATTATGCGAGTCTGCATAATCGAGAATCCGCTCCCCATCAGTGTTACGTGACCCATATCCAAAACCCCATGGCAGCTATAACCGTCTTTCGTAGAGCGCCCACGTGACCGTTGAGGTCACCTCCGACATCTATGGCTCCTTGTAACGGTGCTTCAGCTGTCTTTTCATCGAGCAGGTTCCAGAACGTGTCCTTGGTTTGCTCGGAGCATCCAGTCTGTGGAGCATACGCTGAGAAGAGATGGTATCTTTGGCGTCTGATGACTACCACGATCTTCATTAGGCGGTCATCGAAGCGCTCCAAGCTCACTATCGAGTCACGGAACCGTTCAGAGACTATTATCCCAACGCCGTTGGTGGTTTCGGGGCCACCGCGAAGAACGGCTTTGAAGGCGAGGCTAATGTTCCTGGACTTGCAGCAGGACCACCTCGTTTCCTGCACGGCACAGAAATCAATTCTTCGACGCTCTGGAGCTTCTGCTAACTCGTACAAGCGTCCCGATAACGTGCCAACATTTAACGTCGCAACGCGGGTCTTCCATACGTTGCGTGGCTTTCGGACCAGCCTAGTTGCCCCTCCCCCCGATGCCGTCCTTGTACCGGAGACCCTCGCATACTTTCATCAGGCCTTGCGAGTGCGCGTCGGCTCCTGCCGACGCCGTAGCATGACATCGAAATTCTTTAAGTGACATTAACATTTTTGATGTGACGGGGGTGTTCGTAGGCCGGCCTGTCACGTAGCCTGTTGCCTGCATTCGAATGTCCGAGGTCGGCTCAGCCCACACAGTGGGCAGTTTCCAGTAGCACCCCTTGGAGGAACGGACATCTTCACCAATGACATTAGTGAACACGAACATTGAAATACGAATTTTAAGTTGAAAGCTGAGAAAAAGAAAATTGAAAAAATCGAAAAGAATAAATCGTAAATTGGAACGGCTGGAACGGCTAGGTTACGCCATTCCTTCAAAGGCTCGTCCTCGAGCCAAAAGGTAGTGAGGCGCGATGAAAAGGATGGGGACGGGTGGAAGCGTGAACATCTTCATGACCGTAAGTTAATGTCGGACAATAAAAAATACCAATGTTACTCTTACTAGTTATATAACTGTGACGATGATCACGAAAAGGTGGGTGTAGGCATTTTTCCTTTTTATTATAATGAGCCAATATGAAGTCGTAAAGCTACTGATGATACTAATAGGTGATAACATGAAATTTCGTGTCATTCGCTTCGTTATACTGAGACGAATAACCACTTTGTGATACGTAATATTAGTCTATTTGAGCCTAGGGCGACTGATATACGGAGAGAGTAGAAATGATGTGATTCGAGTACTAGTTTGTGGTACGGCACATTAGTGTCGACTAGTACAAGGGCGTGATTATGAACTTTGATATCTCCTGTAGAGCCTCTCCAGATCCATAGAGAGTTCTTGATCACCGTAGCTTGATGTTGGTGTGTAGACAACGAAGATTATTAGACGGGAGAATGAGTCATATCTTCTCAATCGCAAACTTCCGACTCGAATTGCCAAGCTTCCATACAAATAGATTCGCGCGCATGCACTGCCGGTAAGCGGTCGGTTCGAGAGCGCTTCCCTCCCATCATCCAATTGCCCGCAGCTGTATCTACTATTCGTGTTAGAAGTTGTTCCTCGCGTATTTACTCGAGTATTTGTCCACTTCCTACGACGAATTCAAGTGAACTTCTCAGATGTTCTGTTTCGTCTTTTATTTCCATTCGTGGCCTTCGGAGGCAATTGGCATCGATTCTATGCTGGCGTAGATCACGTACGGCCCGTGATCAATACTAGCTTCTGAGGTCGTCAAAACAGGTCTACTCGGAAATATTTGGTTTACTCTTTGTTCTGAAATGGATACTCCTACCCGCACACCTGTTAGAGGGGCCAAGCGATCCTGTCTATCTACCTCTCCGCTTTCTCCCGTGTCGAGTCCAGCCGACCTAGAGGAATTGATGCGGCAGATCAACATTTCGGCTGACGTTCCCGATTGCGTCAAAACTCCTCTCAGTACTCCTGTAAATGAACTGAATGATGTCAGAATGGAGCGTGACTGACTTCGTCAAGAGAATGCAATGCTTCTTGAGGAACTTTACAATTCTAATGTTACTTTACATACTCATGCTGAGCCTACTACTGAGCCTAGAAATGTGCGAACTCCTTTCTCTGGTATTTATTTTCTAAAGCTGAAAGGCGTAGTGATAGCTGGTGTTCCCGAGCTGATGGAGCACTTTAGGAAAGACTTGTTTTATGACTTCAACAGTGTTCTTTATATTTTAAATCATCTGGAAGTTGAATGCGTTCCTATTTCTGTGTATAGACTAGGACGACCTATTTTAGGAAAAACAGATAACTTAAGGTAGATTTACCCACTTCGTATTTTCAACGTATGGCAGTGAAGCGAGCTGCGCTTTTTCCCCGAGAGAGGCGTTTACCTTAGGGAATCGCTCTCTATTGAGGAGAAAAGGCGACGCAAGGAAGAACGCCCGCATCGTACAGAAGTCATTCATTCGCATAATGTTTCATGCAAGTCTAATTCTATGTCACAAACTATGTCTGCTTCTCAGGGAAACTGAGTTTCCCTCCTAGGTCTGATATTCCTTGCAATGTTGTATAGATTCATATTTCAATTTCTTTCACATGTCTGTTTTTTATTGTAATATCAATTCGTTACCTAAATACGGAAGTTTTCTTGATCATATCACTGCTAATAGATATGACTTGTATCTTTTGACCGAAACTTGGTCAAAAGCCCACCATTCTATGACGTCTACGCTCAGTCATTGGAGCAATGAGTTTGCTGTGTTGAGATGCGACAGAAGGCACAGAGCTGGCGGTGGAGTGTCCATGATTATAAGTCACACGCTCAATCATACAACCATATTATCAGAATCGGTTCCAAAGGGGTATGAAATCTTAGCAGCCGACATCGCATCAACCGAATTTCGTTTCGGGGTTGTCTTGGTTTACAGGCCTCCCTCCACCACTCCTTCCTTTCCCAGCAGTTGGCAAAAGCAATTAGCGATCATTTTACTGTATCGTTTCCAGTCTTGGTAGTAGGTGACTTCAACATGCCTGAAGTCAATTGGGCTGGGGATTCTTGGAATGAAAGTTCTCATCCACTAGCGGTTACATTTGCTCTGCATGGATTCAAGCAGTATATTAAAGAGCCTACTAGATGCAACTCTAATTTGGATTTACTTTTCTCGAATGAACATGAGCTCTTAAGCAAAGTATCTGTTAGTTTTCTAATTGGCCATAGTGACCATTTTAGTATCTCCTTCGAGACTGATAGAATCTTGCTGCCGTACGTGCCGGTTTTGAAAAGGCTTTTCACAAAGTGTGACTATACTCGCGTTACAAATTACCTCTTCAACATTTTGTGGATCGAATCTTTTGAAACAGTATCTACGGTTGACGAGAAATATGTTATGTTCCTCTGTATACTCCAAGATGCTATAGAACAATATATTCCATGGACTTACGTTTTCCCAAATAAGTCCAATCTACCCGTCTACCTCCAGAAAATGTTAGAACATAGAGAATGTCTTCTGCAATATGCAAGGCTCAGTGGTGATTGGAATGGATACAGAAAGTTTTCTCCTACATTTTTGGAGAAACTAGCAAAGCAGTTGAATCAAAAGAAGGGCATCGTTTCTTTAGATTCATGAGACCTAGACTTCGTTCAAAAACAAAGTTCGCTGATCTGAAAACTGATGGGCGATTACTTTTGAAGGACACTGGCAAGGCCAATGTTTTCGCTGCTGAGTTTCAAGAATCATTTTCAAGTGATGGTGATACTGCCGCCATGTGTACCCTCAACTTTTTATGCAATGGATACGTTCCCTTACTTTGATCCCGATGACATCTATGATACCTTGGTCAAATGGCCTGCTTCTTCCTCTGTTACCCCGGAACATACCCCACTTGTATTTGTCAAAAACGTAGCCATGCTATTGCGTTCCCCCTTTCATATTTATTAGGTGTGTGCATTAATTTCCGCCGTTTTTTTGCGTGCAAAAACATATTTATTACAAAATTAAATCCATTGTACATTAATCAGTGTATTGCCCATCATTAGCTACAACCTCTTGCCATCTTTCTGGTATCTTGTTGACTCCGGGTCTGAAAAAGTCT